ATATGATATATTTAACTGATTTTTTTTTTTATCCAAACAATCAATGATTTATAAATGTAAATCAGGAAAATTAACAAGGCTGCCCAAACTTTTTCATATGACTGTATATTTAGGGACATACACTTGTATATCTTTAGTAAACTTAATGACAAGTACTTAAAGTATACTTCTTTTTGGTAAGTTTATAAACATTATAACAGTATACTTAAAATTTAAACAAAAAAATGTCCAAATTTAGTACAAACAAGTATTAAATCAGTATACTTTCAAGTATACTTGATATACTTAAACTTATACTCAAGTGTACTTATTAAAATGAACTTAATTCATACTGCATTTTCGCAGAGTTTGGATGAGATAATGAACTGGAGATGCCGGCTTTTATTGAGTAACTTTAATATGAAATTGTTCGACTCTGTTTAGCTTCAGACTGGGTGAACCTCTGCCCATCTTTACCTCTGACAGGTTCAGTCTAAATGTTTTTATATCCACTCCTCTGACTGATCTGTTCATCATGAACTTGTTCCTCCAGCTGTTACTGATTCACAGCACAGCTTCTTTTTGCTCCTGGAATACCTGGTTCAGAATCAGGGTTGAACCTTTTCTGGAAATTAATGTACGAATGGAGAAGCTTTGTGTGCTACGTGGTGGATCAGTGGGTAGTACTTTTGTCTCACAGTGAGTAGGTCCTGCAGGAGTCAAGATTCTGCAGCTCAGGAAGAGCAGTCAGTCTGTTTCTTCAGGGTTTTGTGAATTTGGTTGCTGTTTTTCATCTGATATGAATTTTTCTTAAGAAAAACAAAACTGTGTGGTGGCAATTTTTGGTACAACTGAGGCTTTGCACAGGAACAATTTTTGGGGGGATTACATAAAAGTATTTTATTACTTTAGCCCTGCAGTCCAGGTTTGGACCTGGGGTGTAGTCTGTATGCGGAGTCTGGTTTACTCCCACTGTCCAATGACAGGATGTTTGGCTAAATTATTTTTAAAAACAATCTAATGAAACATGGACAAAGATCCTTGAGTGTTTTATGTGTTTTGGGTCATTGCTCTGCTGGACTTATGAGCTGCAACTGAGACCAAATGTTCTGACTCTGAGCGACACATTTAGCTCCAGAAAGCCTTGATAGTCTTGAGATTTCGTTTACCGATTTAAAAAA